ACCCTTCCAAGCTGATACCAAACAGTTGTTGGACCACAGTAGGGATGAACTACGATGTCTAACAGGCCTCCTTACAAGTCACTGTCATTTGAAACATCATATGCAGAGAACCCGGACTATCGGAAAATAGTGTATGTCGCCTCTGTTTGGGAAATGATGAAACAGCAGAACATAAACTTTGTGCCTGTCCCGCTGGGGACCGAATTAGGTTTGTAGAGTTCGGCAGACCCGTACTCTTATTATCTGACATGAAAGACCACTCACCATACAAACTAATCGGCTTCGTTAAGAAGTTTGCAGATCGACAAAATCACTTTGGACCTAACGTAACCTAACCCCAAAATATTCCAAAATGTTAGATATGAGTCAGAAAGAAGACCACTTCACAGTCATGAGGTTCAAGGTGAATATTCTGAATATTTGCTCAATTTTTCATGCATTGGATGGTTGAAATAAATTACTTTCGTTTAATGTCCTTGGATTTAACACGCAAACGATGTTACTAATGTATTTCCCAATCCAATGAACATTTATTTCCAAAAATCAGACATCGATTGATGTAGTTCAGAAATGTTCAGTCCCAAATTTGAATATCAACATCTCAGGTCATCGCAAAGGTGAGGGTCATTTCATATAGGGAATTGAAACTACTTTCGTTCGAAATGTCACAAGACTCCCCTTTGCATTTGAAATTTGGCTTGAAACTTGAAAATAATCGGATAAAAATTTTTTTCTTGCATCGTTGTTGACTAAAAGTTACGATTGAACTTGTAATCATTATTATTAATAAAATTATATCCTCAGATTCTTAAAATATAAAAAGAGGTACATTTTTAGGAGAGTATACTTTTGAGAAACAGGTTTTGGCTTTCTAATTCTCCATATTTATGCAAAGAAGATTTCCACATTATTTTGTGTGAAGATGGGAAAAAAGAACCCCAAAACCTTTGTTTCCTGAAAGTCTCAATGACACTACCTTGAACATTTCAAACAGAGATGTTTTTATCATAATAAAATTTCAATTCAGAAAATCAAAGGAATAATGTACCTATTCAAAGTATTATGAATTCAGAAATATACATTGAATTTACAGCTTGGATATCTTCACCTGGTAAACCGATGATGAGCGAGTTGATGTTTTTGTAATCTATCAGGTTTATTAACTCATATTTTCAATCCAACCACTAGGACTGACGTCAACTTCGTGAGTGAAACTCATTTATTTTGGAATTTTAAATCTGGCGATATCGTTTTTGCTTTTACTGTCATCATAAAATGCCAGCCAAATCTTAGTGGAACTCGTTTTCTGGGGAAGCCCACGACAACAGGTTTTCAAACCTGATATGGTGATGACCCCATTCCTCAATCAGAGCAGAATCAGAACAGTTTTTGAGAACCGAGTACTGAAAAATTTGAAAGAATACATTTTGGGGGTTTTCATTTCAACTGATAATGAAGAATTTCATACCTTATTATTACGTTTCAGGACAGATATTCCTCATGTTTTTTTTTCTAATCGAGATAGTGAGAGTTCTGAAAAAGCCGGTGTTTTATTTCAAAGCTGATGGTGTGACACAAATTGGCGTCATAAAATCTGCCGTCTAATAATGCACCCAGAAAATTTAATCGGTTTATAATGCGATAAGTGTGAATTGATTGATAGTTATGTTTTCAACTGTGTAACCAATCTTTCGAAAAAAAAAGTGTTTGATGAACTCTAATAAAACTGTAATTTCTCTCAAAACTATCATCTTATAATAACATACTCATAATTTCAGTTAATTTGAATCATTATGAATTTCATCAGTTCGTACTCAGAATGATTTGAAATCCCTGAAAGAACTGATAATGAAAAGAAGAATCAAAAAGGAATAGCTCAAAATAACAATTATTTTAAGCAAAGAAAAACCTGAAATGAAATAACAGTGGAATGAAATACAAGTAAAGAAAGAACAATTGAACGAAAATTAAAAATAAAAATGAAAATTTAGGAGATTCCAAGCCGAGTTACTTCATGACGTTTCGATTGTTAGTATCCACAATCAGTCTTCGGGTGATGACTGAACTAATTCCTCCGAGAGGTGACTATTTATGGGTCATTCGAGTACTTTCATTTATCTCCGCTTTCCGGTTTAGTGAACGATGGCCGTTTGGCGAAAGTTAGCCATTTTTTGCTTGATTATGGGTGTCCATATGTTGCGTATCTCTACGCTAGATTGGCTAAATACATTGTTGGACGACATGAATGCGGCTTCTTTGTATTTCTTCCTGAACCAATGTTTCTCTCTGTGCAAGATCTCAGCTTGAGACCACTCGATGTTATATTGATGGTTTCAAACATGCTCTGCTACTCCTGATTTGCTGCTTTCCCCTCGCTGTGTGTGTTTCTTGTGCTCGGCAATGCGAACATTCAATGGCCTCTTAGTTTCACCGATATAGGATTTTCCGCACTCACAGGGTATCCGGTAAATGCAATTCTTGGAATCGCAGTCCGTGTTTGGTGGCCTGGTTTTCGTGAGGCTGCTACGGATAGTGTTTCCGGATCTGAAGCAAGTTCTGATGTTGTACTTGGACCCAAGTCTTCTTATCCTCTCCGATAATCCTCTGATGTAGGAAAGTGCAAGCACTGGTTGTGACAGCTTCTCTTCCTTGCGAGGCTTCTGCTATCGTTCAGCCAAAGTCTGTTTCACCATTGCTTTGGAGTAGCCATTCCGTTGAAGATCATTTTCAATGATGTCTAGTTCCTTCTAGAGATTTTCCTTCGTATTACAGAGCTCGAAAGCATGGTCTGGAGAGTCTTGATGATTCCTCTTTCACTCGATTGATGGTGGATGGATTCGTGGTTCAGATACTGTACCGTGTGAGGGCTTACCTTTCAACGTGATACCAATCTCATCCTGATAAGAATCACCCTGCATGTCAAAAAGTGACACCTCGTTAACCTCAGCTCGCACAAATTTCCACCTCTGAGGGTTGTCGGTGTGAGGAGGCGACAGCTGGTTGATGGAAAACCAGATTTCGAAAGGATTCCAATAGACTTTTTCTTCAGGCTGATAGTTTCTCTCCAATACAGAATTTTAGGCATGAAAGCAATAAAGATATTTAAAATTATCTCAGGAGTAGGGAGATTAGAATTTGTATTCAGTTCATAGATGATCTTCAACTACATACATACAGGGAAATCATTTTATTTGACGAATGGTTCATTTGTATAATGAACAATTCGAAATCATTTTCAATAGTGATCTACTGCTTTCCCTCATTCAACACTATTTGATCATTATCTATAGAATACAATTTCTCAACATAAACATTTCAAATTATTGAAAATGAACTTTGAGAGTTTTTGTTTGAAAAATGAGCTGTTATTGTCCTTAAGCTATAAATGATCTCACGTATTTTAAATCTCATTTAAATCTCTAAAAGAAATTGTATATTCTCGAAAACAATTATGAAAGTTCGGAGTTCTTCGTTTCGGAAAAACTGAAGAAATAAACTCAGATATTCCGGTGGATTTCCCAAATTACATTTATAATTTCTCAGGAACTTCGTATAAATATCAAATTAACAAACAACTGAAATTTGAAAAAAAAAACTGTATCAATCTATAGATTACAAATTTCTCTAGTAATCAGTATAATAAACATGACACAGTATAATAAATATTCATTGAGATATGGAGCTACATATACACATGACACTAAAAGGGACAAGCCAAGCTCTATCAATAAGCTGTGATTATTTAATTTTTTATTCATATTCATGAGTTATCATACCATAACTACCTCGAATTACAAATGCAATATGCATATATATAGACGGCTCAACAATCAGAGAAGTCTCAGGATATGGAGTGTACTCCAGATCACCAAGCCTAAAGATTAAGTGGGGAATGGGAAAAAATACCAGCGTGGTCCAAACAGAACTGGCTGGTATATCAATCGCCACAAAAGAAATAACCAGGAAAGAAATTCCTGCCAAAAAACATAACAATCTGCACTGATAGCAGACAAGCCTCATTAGCCTTGAACAGACAACATGTTACCTCAGGGCTAGTACTAGAGTGCCACCAAGATTTAGCCAAAGCCTCGGTAGATGATAACATTATCCTGAGGTGGGTTAAAGGGCAGAACAGGAGTGAAGGTAATCACATTGCCGACTCTTCAGCCAAGGAGGCGGCTGGACTAAGAATTTTAGGACCCAGTGGCACCCACGGCCTGATGACTTCGACAGTTGCGGAACTAGCCAAACGTTACACCCATGCTCAATCCCTGAAAAGATGGAATGCAGTCTTGTCAGGATCACCCTGGGCGATCCTGGGAAGCTGGCGCCGAAGCAATATCTGGCGATGACCAGGAAAAATCCACAGTAGGATTTCTGACTGGTCACCGTCAACTAAGAAAACACCTCCATAATATGGAGCTAGTGGACACACCTCTATGCAGGATGTGTGATCAGGAAGATCAGTCTATCAGGCATGTCCAATGCGAGTTCCCGGAGTTATCGTCAATGAGAGAGTGTGTGTTCGGCGAGTTTTAGCCTACACCTGCCGATATAAAGGAGATGTCTCCCATTGACCTGTCCACCTTCCTGGAAAGGACAGGATGGACGATGACCTAGGAGGACAACTCCTTGGGAGGCTGTACAATTGGGTCACATGTGACCTCAGTGCTGTGGGCCTACACTCACCTTCCTTACTCTACAGATACAGAACTACCTCGAATTCATGAAATTTTTAAAGTTTTGCCATGAAACGAAATGCCTCTTTGAGTTAAGAAGAGTTGAAACTTTTGTAAGAAACACATGGTATACTGCCTGTTTCCAATCATTGTATTGTTGTTGTTTCCATTTGAAAAGTTTCCCACATGCATTGCATACTAAATTTAAACACTTTAACTGATACGTATGCAGCCACTTCCTCTCTCAGGAATCAATTCCTATTTTCAATGTGGTATTTTTTCTCAAAACAACTGATAATTGAACGATTTCTGCAGCTCTATCAACCACTGTTCTGACTGCAGAACTATAAAATATGAAGAGTATGACATTTTCATTTAGTTTGTGCTGCGTTTGCCGTCTCCGGTTGTCGACGAGAAAAATCCAACAAGTAAGAGTTTTGATTTTTTATAAAATCATAATTTTCCAATAGTACAACTGATATTATCCACCATCATTCAAAATTAATGGGGTATATTGTTGGAAGAGATTAATTATGAGGAAATAAATATTTTTAAATGAAGTCTCAAAATATTCATCTCTCCCAACTACCTTCAAAGTAGGTTCTGATAAAGGCCTGCAGGAAAACAACTACTTCTCCGGCTGATATCACGCTGGATATTGAACTATATCTTCTGTGAGGTATCATGCATAAATGTCTGTCAAATACTGTTTGTTTTTTTGTTGTTTATTCGAAACAAATTTCTGATATTTTCATAATGCAGCCTGAAATTTCTTCTACATTAGTTTTATTTTTAATTTTTCCGTCCTACTTATCACAGTCGTAGGAGAATGTGAACTCACTGTGACCGTAAAACTGAAAAAGTGAATCAATCAATGAGTTTATTCATTTCCCGTTCGACATACAAATATGTATGAAATTTCTCAGCAACGTAGAAACATACAAAATTTGCCGCAATACTGTATAGACAGTGTAAACACAAAATAACAAATGGTATAAAAAGCATTTGTTTAGAACTCAAAATAAAAGTATATATTAAATTTGTTCAGCTCCTCCATATATTTTGTTAATTTATTGAAGATATTGGCTCCCATGGCACTCTACACTATATTTACAAAGACTGCAAAAGTCGAAATATTGAAGTATCCGAAGTGTCTCTATACCTTGTTTCAGTCTCGATACCTCTTGAGCATAATACAGGGCTGAAAGTTGTGGTGTGTTGAAATATCTCTCTGGTAACTGAAAAGATAAAAAATGAACTCATATTGCCCAGTAAGTTCGAGCAGTGTTGTTCCCATGTCAAGCAGTCATCAATGGTAATTCCAAAAACTTCGTCTCTTTTGTGAGAAGAATTTTCCCGTTGGTAACTTCGAACTGAATTGGTACACAATGTTTTTGACGATTGTGGGATCTAACCAATTGGCATTGAGATAGTTAAAATTCGTTCCACACCAGTTTGCTAAGTTTATTAACATTTATCGACAAGTGATTGTTCATCCGTGTCTGATACCATTGAATTCGTATCATCAGCCTACATTGCAAAGGAAAAGATCTTAGTATGCATTAGAATATGAAAGAAACAATATTGGCCCTAGAACTGATCCTTGAGGGACAGCAATTGAAATGTTCAACAACAACGATGCATTATGGTTGATGGAATTTATTTTTGACATTTTTTCATTTCAGAAACTCTTTCGCCATGTCAACAGCAAAAAAGAATATAGTTAAACTGTTCGATCGTCCGAAAGAACTGGTTGTTATGCCAAAAGGAGATGACAACACCGTTTTCGACGTGCCGCAGGAATATTTGGTGAGCATGTTCTTCTGATTACTTCATTGAGTCAAGTAAAAAAAATATATGTGAGTATTATTGACGACGCTCATCATACATCATTCTGTACCTCAATTTGGGAAAGAAGTGAAAAAAAAATAAAAAGGTAATCAATCATCCAACAGATGAATCCTACAACAAAATCAACAATGATATGAGATGCTTCATACTCTGCTCAACTATTTTTGAGATTTTTCGAAGTAAAAAAAATTGAATATTGCATATTCCAATTCAGGAATGAAAAAACGTTTGTTTGGGAAAAACCAAGAAAGTACTTGATAAAAATAGCTGGTTTTTTCTCATTTTGTCTTCAATCGAGTACCGCCTGCCTGGTACTGACGATACCCAATAGGCTGAAACAGCTGTCTACCGGTAGCTCTTAAATTGAAATCAATATGGGAATGATTAGAAAAAAGTACTTATCTATTTATTTTTTTTGTCACTTTCTCAAAACTCATTGTTTTATAGCCTGAACAGTACAAGAACGTTGCGAACCAAATTGTGAGTAGGTTTGGCGAAGAGGCTAACTCGAAAATTCCTGTTACAACAATTTCCATTCCGCCGTTGGGAGAAATTTTGGATCTCGCCCGTGATGAGAACTTTTCCCTTTTCATCCCCAAGCACAGGAGAATTGCTGGCCGACTCATTGATATCTACTTAGGTTAGTATTTCATTATGAGTTGATAATTAACAAATATATACTCAGTGAAGACTCAAGATGGAGACACCCCCGTATTTCAGTCATTTTTTCAGCAGATATTTGATTTTTGGTACAGGCATAGACCTTCATAGGCTGCACTTTTCGCAATACTCAGCCCGAATGACAGCCTAAAACCCAGGCTAGTGTTCCTGCAAAAAAGTCAAATTTTTATCCTACATACCAAATTTCTCTCACAAAGTTCTTGTCAACTTTCGTCGCCTAGACTTGTAATTCCTATCCTTGACAGTTCTCCATAAGTAAAAATCCATTGGATTCATGTTAGACGAGCGAGGAGGCTATTGTTTTTGTAGGCTATTTTAGTGTAATCAACAAGTGTAACAAGTTATCACATGAAAAATAGAGATGAAGGTCCTAAAAATATGAGCAATAGCTCATTCGATTCGGAATCACCTCTAGAAAAATGTTTTTGAAGGATTTTGGTTGCAGGTTAGAAATTGCAATTGTTATTAACAAAATAAGATTTAAAATGAATGGTATTTAGTTTTTCGTTAATAACTCAAAAAATATTAATATATGAGCAATTTTGAAATTACCTGCACCAAAATCCTTCGAGAACATTTTTCTAGAGGTGATTCCGAATCGAATGAGCTATCGTTCATATTTTTAGGACTTTTATCTCTATTTTTCATATTTTTGAACTTGTTAATTAGACTATTTCTAGCAATCAAAATATCGAGAATTTTGTCCTTTTCGAGAGACCGCAGTAGGCTGCGTTTGAGGCTGTCACTCGAGCTGAGTATTGCGAAAAGTGCGTCCTATCAAGGTTTAAATCTGTACCAAAAATCCAATATCTGTGATTGGTTCAGCTTCAATTTTTCTTTCATTTATTTTACTATTTCACCTTCATTATATAAATTCTATGTACTGGAATGAACATTACTATTATTTTATTGTCAGATCTTGATCATAGGTTACCTTCATTAGAATGGTTTCAATTCGATAATAATCTTGTTCTGCTTTCATTTTTGAAATATAAAATATCCCATACAGGCATGCGCAATGTGGACGACCTATTATCAGTAGCCGTGTACACCAGAGATCGGGTTAATCCTTACCTCTTCAACTACGCCCTATCCGTAGCCCTATTACATCGCCCAGACACGCAAGACGTGGATTTGCCATCTTTCATCAGGTCTTTTCCTGACAAGTATGTCGACAGCAAAGTGTTTGCCAAGGCTAGAGAGGAAGCCAATATCGTTCCAGAAGGATCTAGGGTGAATACTCACTTATGTTATCAGTATCACAACTGCCTGTTTGAAAAATTCCATGTTTCAGATGCCTATCGAAATTCCTAAAGACTTCACAGCGTCCGACTTGGAAACCGAACATCGCCTGGCTTACTTCAGAGAAGACCTGGGAATCAATCTCCACCACTGGCACTGGCACTTGGTGTACCCCTTCGAAGCTGCTTTTGAAGTTGTCAACAAAAACCGAAGGGGAGAACTGTTCTACTACATGCACCAACAGATCGTCGCAAGGTAAATCGATTTCTGATACACCAGGACCGACTCACTTTAGTTTTCCAAGAACTGAAACCTTTTCAGTTTACTGTTCTTTACAATCTAAGTATACAGCACTTCACGTATATTCCAGATACAACTTCGAGCGTTTATGTCATAAATTGAAACGTGTTGAACGTTTGATCGACTTCAGAGGGGCAATTCCTGAGGCATACTTCCCAAAATTGGATAGCTTGGTCTCTAGTAGATCTTGGCCTGCACGTGTTGCTAACCAGAAGCTCAGCAACTTGAGAAGGGAAGTAGATCAAATCACCATTGATCTGGATGATTTGCAGAGGTGGAGAGACAGATTCATGGATGCTATCAATTCTGGTATGGTCAGAAATGTGAGTGGATCTTTTTTTTGGTATTTTGACCTTGTCATTCATGTTTATTCATGCATTTATTTATTCACGACTTTGATATGCATTTTACTGAATACAATTCAAAAATTAAAAATAGATACACACAATGATCAATACAAAAGTGGAGAAAAGATAAAAATATTGTATAGTTCAAGTGAACGATATAGTGCCCCCAACCTTCCAGCAGTTTCCCTTTGATAAAATAGTGCAATGTAGGTGTAGGGTCGAATAGAACCACTCACTAGTGACTTAACCTTACCTAACTACTTACTCACATATGTATATAATAGATCGCTTCAAAAACACTACACTAACTTTTTTCGAAAACTTCTAATAATTCCTCTTCCATATTTTCCGTTTCACTATAACTGTCGTCATTTAAATCAATAATGAATTTATTTCCACTATCAATATGGAAGTGTCCAATTTCCATATAGTCTTCTTCAACCAAAATTACTTTTTTATTCCTTTTCTGCCAGTCTTCTTCGGTAATATTAGATACTTCTTCTTCAACTAGCTATACAACTTTTTATCAAACTTTGGAAAATTATTTTTACGCGATGATGCTTCGTTTCAATTCTCTCCAAATCAACTCGATGAGATTGAAAACACAAAAACAGGGGGGGAGTCTCAATAAAGTATGTCCATACTTTTCAGCAATACTCTCAAGGCCATACACTTTTCAAATGTTTTTGTCTGTAAAACTTCAAGTAGTTGGTTCATGATGGTTCAAAATACAAATTGTTTTCCTCAATCATAGGAAGCGGTGTCAAGAACTATTACACTATCCGCATCCAGATTTGGAATTGATGTGTTTTCAACGCATTCCTCAAAAATATTAGCTTCCATGTTCTTATGATAGTCAACACTGCAGTCCTCAAGTTTTTTCTCCATAATTTCGAAGAATTCGGAACCCATCCTTTACTTCTTCCATATTGCACAATGATTAGTCGCGATCCTTTGTTTGCAGGCGTGTTAGGCGTACACATTTTCGAACCATCAGTCCACCCTTTCGTAACTGTGTCGTATATTGTTTTTTTTTATGATTTTATCAGATTAACATGTGAAGGTTTTGGTTATCCCGCATGAAATCGCGTCTTGCGTTCATAAGGTTTGTTTTTGACTATTTTACGTAAAGTTGAGAAAGGAATTTCGGTCAAATCTGATGTTGTTTGTAATAGTTGTTTCCCTAGAAACCAAACTTGATATGTAGGTTCTTATGTGCTTCGAAACATACTCTTTGTATTTCAATATTCAAATGCATCCGAATCTTATTCACTGGTAGTTCTTTTTTGCATTGTTCACCAGTGCTATTGGAATCACTACACAGGAAACAGTCTGCGTTGTTATCACACTCGTTATTACTATTAGTACTTGTCCAAAGACGCCACATTTTAAACAAATAATAAAAATTTTTGGTAATTATAACTTCACCAATATCGAATTTCAACACTCAAATAACGATCAGTTCCTGACCTGAACATTGACAACATCATCAACATCATCATCATCAGCATCATTCATTACATGTGTTCTCTACTCATCAGCACTGTTATATTTTTTCAGAGAGACGGTCAAAATATACAGTTGACGGAATTCGAAGGAATAGACATCCTGGGCAACATGATGGAATCCAGCATACTCTCTCCAGATAGGGAGTTCTATGGAGATTTCCATAATATGGGACACGTCTTTATTTCTTATATACACGACCCCGATAGCAGACATCTCGTGAGTAATCTATGAGGCAACTAAAATTAATGTAACTTCAAATAGTTTATCAAGAACATTTACATTAACATTTATTTATCAGGTATTCAACCTCCCACAATCTGAAAATAAATCACCGAAAAATCCACTTACTCATGAACTTGTCGTGTTCACAAATTTTGCCTCATGATGAAATGGATGATCAGAAATGTATTTAGCTTTTCCAAAACGGCTAACGTTTCAAAAAGTAATCAGGGTAAATTTTCGACACCCAGGTGTATTTTCTTTAACGTCAGTGGTTTATAACAGTTAATCTGGAAAGTTCGTAAGCTAATATAGAAAAAAAGTTGATCCACTTTTTCAATAAAGTCACCCATGAGGGCGATATAGCGATTATAGCGGTTCTATTATAATTGAGCTGATTCTCAATTGATTTGGCTTTGTTCATTTTCCAGACTCTGAAAGGATACATACCTACCTGAAAAACAGCAGGAAGCAATAACATATTCATTTATTGACTTACATACCTCATACAATTTGTAATCCGCTCTTGTTTCTTCTTGGTAGGAGTCTTTCGGAGTGATGGGTGACTCAGCAACAGCCATGAGAGATCCTGTTTTCTACAGATGGCATGCCTATATAGATGATATCTTCCAGAAATTCAAGTCTTCTCTACCTAGATATACAGTGGAGCAGGTAAGTGGTAGAATCATCAGACTGAAGCTATCCCATCGCAAACATTAGTGAAGAGCCAGAAAAAGGCATACATTTTTTTCCTCTAGAGAATATTTTGTCAGCACCAGAAATTCTCATCTCATAAACATGATCCATGGTATACAAAAATAAGAAGAGATGTTAATGTTTGCTCATGTTTCTCCTATACCGACATTGTGGACAATGAATATCAAATTGGAGTATTGTGGCCTCAGAGCTTTTGACGTCGTATGCAAAACAAAAATTTGGCACCCCCTCTGAAATTTTTCTGTTTTCATAACATAAATCCGGGAGAAATACAGAAGCAGAATGAAAAATATGAATTCTATTGAAAAGTCGAAAAACTTGAGTTACTATAGATGAACATCACAATACTTGAAAGATCATAACAAAAAAGGAACGGAGCTGAAGTACTAGCTTGGGTCAACTAGACAACTAGACTGATCTAATTAGGGGTATATTATACTCATCATCAAGTCTAATCGGCCCCAAGATCTCCTTATATTTGCAGAAGAAAGAACAATTCGAAAAGCAAGAATTTAAATTGGCCGCGTGTCTGTTGACCAATAAAATTGATCGTGTCTAGAGCGGAGTTGTCCAGTGTATTGATTTATACACACATCGGAAAAGTCTAGGGATATTTTTAAAAATGGCAATAATTTTTTTTTAGATCGCTTTAGGGAAAAAAGTTGACGGGTGATTACTAAAAGAATGTAACTTACAACCAAAATTTATCAAACGGTCAAAAATACTGAGTGCGCATATGAGCAAAACTAAAAAAAAATATAGCTCTTCTTTGGCACCCCGAAAAAAAATCATAATACAAAAAAAATTGGAATCAGTACAAAGTATGGCGTCCACGCTGGTTTATTACGGCCCTACATCAATCGTGCATCGACAAAATGAAATTGTCAATGTCTTGTTGAGGTACATTTGCCCATTCAGCGATTAAAAGCTCTCTCGATTGAAACGTTGTGTGAATGTTCCCCATATGCGGAGTAATTCTTCGTTGAAGCATGCCCCATACATGCTCGATGGGATTCAGGTCCGGTGATTGTGCTGGCCATGGCAATACATCAACTCCTTCGTTGGTGAGCCAGTCAGTCACTAGACGCGCGACATGTGGACGAGCATTATCGTGCATTAGGTGGAAGTTTTCACCAACAGCGCCAGCAAACGGACGAGCGATAGGTAGAAAAATGGTGTCGAGGTACTGTCGAGCTGTGAGGGAGCGATTTGGAAAAACGAGATCGGTTCTGCCGCCGATCATGATTCCGCCCCATAGCATTATTGTACCACCTCTGTATGTGTGGACTTCCTGGACGTGTCTCAAACGTTCATTATTTCCAGGTCGTCTCCACAGTCTTACTCGACGAGAATCTGGATGAAATCCAAATCTGGATTCGTCTGTAAACAAAACTGTGGCCCAATCATTTGCATCCCAGTTTTGATGTTCTTGACACCACTCTAATCTTCTACCGCGATTGCCTCTCGACAATGGTGGACATCTAAGTGGCCTTCTGTTGTGGAGATCTCCTTCATGCAGTCGATTTCTGACAGTATCACGACCAATGGTTACCTGGTGCGTCTGCTGCAACACGTTAACCAACTCAGGTGCTGTGATTGTCGGTTGTCTTCTTGCGGTTAAGACCAAAAATCGGTCTTGAACTGCAGTTGTAGCGCGTCCTCGCCCTGGATGTTGTTCGGCTGGACTGCCAGTTTCACGGAAACGCCGCCACAATCGACTGATAACACTTTGGGAGACCCCCAAACGAAGAGCTACATCATTTTGTCGCATGCCACCTTGAAGAAGCCCTACAGCTGTATTCATCTCAGCCAATGGTAAGTGATGGCGTTCCATGTTAAAGCACAATATTTCCAGTTTAATTGCTGAGCAAGAACTGCATAGAATGTACAAACTCGACACTTTCAGATTATTCATTTTAACCGAAAACCTACAGTTTGTAAAAAACTTGATAAAAGATTAGTTAGAAATTAAACGACCTCATGCATTTATTTTTATGATATTTAGTTTGTTATAAAAATATCCCTAGACTTTTCCGATGTGTGTATTATCAAATCTGTGATCAAAATAATCTTATCAAACAACGTTTTTTTTTGTAAAAGGTAGTCTCGGCGGGTGCCTATTTTGCTGCATTTTCCGTGTCATTAGGTTACATTCCAAAAAATATTTTTTGTGGTTATTTTTGTATTGAATTTTACCATTAATACCACCAACATGGTTGAATGATATTTTATACCTAGTTGTGAAAACATATCATCCATACCAGACAAAAAGTTTTTCAGTATTCCAAAAAAAAAACTCTAAAAGATCTATGGTTTCCTTCAGTCGGCCGATCTGAAATAAAAATCCTTCGATGAAAGACAAAGTCTGAAATGGATGTCATATAAATAAAAGGGACTTACTAAATATACCATCGACATTAGAAAGAGCAAATTGTCACATACACTACAGAGGGCGCTGGCTGACTGGATGACGATATGGCTAATATACCAGTACCGTTGAATTTCTTATTTTCGCTGGGTGGCATGAATGCATAATTGATTTATTTTATTAGGGTTCATAAGCATTTGAAAACCATTCGGAAATACAACTCGTTGAATTCTATTCAGTATCATATTTAGATATTACTTGTACTATATTAGTCATCTCTCGTAGATTCGAGAGATCTTATTATTGTTTATTCATTTGTTTGCTGGCTTTATTCTTAAAAAAAAATGAATGAATAAGTACAGAAAATTTTAATTGATCGTTCATTTTCTTAGAAAAATGGAGTACCCATATCACAATTTATTGGTTTATTCGGCATTAAAAACGTATGTCATATCGGATCCATTCTGCTTGTTTTTGTAACATTGAGTTTCAACTTTTTCTTAGCTGACAGCTCGCGTAGGAGCAATTCGTTTTTTCATCGAGTTTAGTTTGTATGCGTTTTGATAGAGTTTCAGAGATATATTTGAATATTAATAAGGTGCATTCTTGTGCCGATTTTAATTGTGCGGAAAAGCCCAAGAAAACAGGAAGTGCATTGGTTTATAGGTGAGTTATTTCATATAATGAGTTTAGGTTCCCAGAGGATCAAATGATAAGAAAAACTGGGTGAAAGTATCGAAAAGAAGGAACTATAATCCTACTACTCTTCCAAAACTTCAATGAAATCATTTAAAAAGTCACTATGAATGAAAAGGTAACGAAAATATTGAATTTGATGACACAGTTTTTCATTTCAGAAAGTATTATCTGGAGTTGATACTGTTACTGAAAGTATGAAACAAAATGAATTAATATTTTTGCAAAAAAATCAAGTGCTTTCCATTTTACTTCATTAAATGTTATCATATGATTAATGGTATTACCTCAGAAGGTTTTGTTGGATCAGTTCGAGTACAATCAATTCTGTCTATACTTGACCTCATTCAACCTCCTTCTCAAGTTTTGGAAGATTCAACAGATTTCCCAAGCGAGACTATAATGCTTGAATTCAGTAGCAATATTAGAAAGAAGTATGTATGTAGAAATCTTTTTTTTTTAAATACATTGCAGTTGTACAGATTGAGGATTGTAGAATAAATTCAATATTCAAAATGATTCTTTAATCCAGTTTGCTATATTTTTGATTTTCATAACTGTATATTATTAAATAATGCAGAAAATCATAGTTTAGGTGGATATTTTGTGATCTTTCGACTTTGTGTACTGATTTTAGATATAAAACTTACTTCCAAACATGATTTTTCGAGTACATTTTATTCCATGTGGAAAATTTTTCATCAATAGAAACGTTAACGGATTCATAAACACTTCCATGATTGAATTGATAATTATAGGCTTCGTAAATGTTACGATTTGGCAATGTTGATTATTTCTATTGTTCCTATTGGTCAACTGAACAAGAAGCGGAAATGGGCCCGTGACGTCACCGGTCTATTCGATTTTCAATAAGTAATTACAGGAAAACTACGGTACTTACAGAGCTGAAACAAAGTGCACTGTTTTTTAATTTGAAATTTCTATCAAGTAAGCTATAAACCAAAAATCATGAAACAAGCCCATTGTAATTTTTCTCTTTGTCCTGTTTTAAGTGGTTCAGAAACTGTAGAAAACCTGTGAATTCCTATTTGGTGTCGAGAGAGCTCACAGTTGATCAAAAACAAGAGCGCCTTGATGATTCTCAGCAGTGATTGACCATGTTTGAACACAATAAACCAAAATTTTTCCATCGATATGTCACAATGGATGAAACATGGATCGGTCACTTCACTTCGGAATCAGAACGGTCGTCATCTGAGTGGAGAGCAACTGTCGAACCTCGTGGAAAGCGCTCGAAAACACAACAGTCGGCTGGAAAAATTATGGCCTCAACATTTCAGGATTTGCGTGGTGTAATATTCATCGACTATCTTAAAAGAGAAAATACCGTCAACAGCGTTACTGGAGCTTTGAAGGCCGAAATTGCAAAGAAACAACCGCATATGGCAAAGAAATAACTTCTGTTTCATCAAGACAACGCATCGTGCCATAAGTCAATCGAAACAATGGCAAAACTACATGAATTGAATTTTGAGTTGCTTCCACATCCAGACCTGTTCGCAGACCAAAAAAAAAATGCTTACCCTTAAGAAATTTTGTTCGAATGAAGAGCTTATTACTGAAACTGAGGTCTATACAAAAGTGGTATTGAAATGTAAGAGCTGCGCTGAAATGATTGTGTGACTCTTGATGGAGATCTTGTTGATGAATAAAGCCAATTTTGAACAAAAAAACAATCGCATTTTCTTTCTTAGGCCCGGGATTTTCAGCCCAGGGGTGAATAACAATCCATTTATTATTTTTTGAGTTTATCGAGTTTCGACAAACATATTTTGTAATATGTAGTGATATTCCAGTTGAACTACCCTGGCATCACCGTTGACGAAATAGGAATCCAAACTGGAAACCAAAGCAATAGCATCCAAACATTCTGGCAACAGTCCGATGTGGATCTCTCCCGTGGAATGGACTTCCAACCTCGTGGAGCGGTCTTCGTGAGATTCACCCATCTCAACCACACAGAGTTTACCTACAGAATCATTGTGAACAACGCAGCAAGCGGAAACAGGCAAGGCACCTGCAGGATATTCCTAGCACCCAAGTTCGATGAGAGGGGCAATCCATGGTTGTACAGAGACCAGAAGAACATGTTCATTGAGTTGGACAAGTTCACAGTTAACTGTAAGTATATAGGAATTTAGGCCTTCAAGCCTGGCGTAAATGTTTTGGTTGGTTTTTGGAATTGTTGATTTTACGGATTTTGCCGTGGTCTTCTTTGGTCATAATCTCCAAACGTTCCAACTGCAACTGCGACAGTCACCTTCAGTGGAGTGGTCGAAGTATTTTTCTTGACGTGTCAACTGAAACTCGTATCAAGAGTACTCCGACCACACCACTGAAGATAACTGCCGCAGTTGTAGTCGAAACGTTTGAAGATTATGACCAAAGAAGACCACGGCAAAACCCGAAAACCAACCAAAACATGTATTTGAACATGTTTGGCGAACTGATGATGATGATAAACAAATCATTTTCAGTAAAACAAGGAAAAAATACCATCAATCGTTCCTCAATCCAATCTTCGGTCACCATCCCCTTTGAACGTACATTTAGGGATCTCGATACAAACAGACCTGAGGGGGCTGATGATCTGGCCCAATTCAACTTCTGTGGATGCGGATGGCCACAACATATGTTGGTCCCAATGGGAAATCCTGAAGGCATGCAATGTCAATTGTTCGTGATGATTTCTAATTACGCAGATGATAGGGTGAGTACAAGTTTGCATAGTTTCCTCAATGCTTGTTTTTGTTGCATGAATACACTTTACGATATGTAGATGTTACAATACCCCAAAATGGACCAGCGTGGTCCAAACAGAACTGGCTGGTATCTCAATCGCCACAAAAGAAATAACCAGGAAATTAATTTCTGGCAAAAACATAACAATCCGCACTGATAGCAGACAAGCCCCATTAGCCTTGAACAGACAACGTGTAACCTTTAGGCAGAAGGTGTGAATAGGAAGATGAGACTGTCATGCATGTCCTATGCGAGTGTCCGAAGTTATCGTCAGTAAGTGTTCTGCGAGTCTTGGCCTACACCTGCCGATATAATGGAGGTGTCTCCTAGTGACCTGTCCACCTTTCTGGAAAGAACCTAGGAGGACAACTCCTTGGGAGGATCTACAATGGGTCACATGTGGCCTAAGTGCTGTGGGCCAACACTCACCATCCCTAATCTACAGATACAGATACACCAAAAGGGAATACCATAACCTGAATCTGTCACAGCACTGATTTTGCCACTGAGTACCCTACTCATTCAAAACTTTTTTAAGAGCGTAATATCCAGCTAATTGTTTTATTCAGATTGTTTATGTTTTCCTACATTTGAAATCACAAGCATGAACATCTATAAACTTGATCAGTTATTATTTCAAATATTTATTCAGCGAAACATTTTCAGTGTGATATCAACAGTTTATATACTCGTTTTTGAGATATTTAATGAAAAAAGATTTAAGTATTTTTACGGTCGCCATAATCGTCCTACCGAGATAGTTATTCAAAGACCGGAATCGCTGAATTGAAGTTGAAGAAATGTCTCTGATATATTGAGTATCGCTAAATCGTTCACTTATAGTGGAAAGATGATAGAGCCAAGGATGGTTCCTTGAGGAACTCCACAATGGAATCTTTCAATAACGATATATGGGTTTCATTTTCAATAACTGAATCAGAAGGATATTCAATGCAATGATACTAATCATGTTTGATAGATGGAGCTAGAACATCTGGCATGAAATGAATCTAATGTAAACACTACTCCAAACCGGATATAATAATGACAGTACAGACAATTCCGCTTTCTGTTAAGATACATTCGTTGGGGGTTGAAATGGACACCAATATGTCTTGGCACCATCATATCGCTGGAATTGCAAAGGGTCCAAAGGCTTCTCAAAAGTTTGGAACACTGTTTCGAACCAGTCGGTAGCCAAGCGGTTCGGCGTGGGTGCTTTGTTCACTCACTCGAATTGACTGCCGTGTTGGTCGGTGGTTCAAGCCCTAGTCTGAACGATCGATCTTCACTTGCTACCGTCCAACCCGTGTAAGGAATCACACGTTAAAAGGTAAGACCTCGTTAATCCTTAGCTCGCACAAGTTTCGACTTCTGAGGGTTGTCGTTCGTAGGGGTGCGACAGCTGGTTAACGGAAAAACAGATTTTAAACAGATTTTTTAAACAGAAAATTGTACACACCTCAGCACCTTATGATGCTTTATAAAACTCAGATCAAACCTTCTTTGGAGTATCGTTCTCATGTATGGAGCTCCGCCCTTAAGCATATCCTGGAGCTGCTGAAGCCTGATTGGAGACGCGAACATACCTTGCAACCTTGATAGTCTGGAAAATCGAAGGTGGGAGACTTGTCTCTCTTTTATAGATACTTTCACGAGAGGTGTTCAAGGACTTGGCACATTTGATTTCACCAAGAGCGGCACATATCAGAAATGCGCAACGGACTGTGGCTGTTCATCGTTTTGAGGTTCAGCGATTCTTGAATCGCTACTTTCACAGCTTGGCACATCTAGCTGTGCTTCTGAATATTGGATGCACAGTAGATCATCCGGCAGAGTGGGTGAGAGTTCATTAACATCGAGGAACTCGTGTAGTTCTTCCGCCGAGCCACCGCTCCTAAAGCGCCTCAAGGATTTTTCTGTAGTGTTTGTGTTTTGTCCATAGAAAAATTGGAAGATGTGAAAGTTTAGATGTTTCATTTCGGAATATTCGTTTTTTTGTACTTTGTTTTTCTATCATTGGTTTCGGTTCTCATGATTTATTATGATTGTTTTAAATATCGAGGACATCAATCAAATTTCTGAATACGTCAGTAACCCGACTAAAAACAAACATATCTACTTTGTTCTAATGTAATGTTACTGCAACCCAACAATTATTTCCTTTCGAGCGTTTGTTGAATCGATGATAAATTACAATTATAGCTTGTTGAATTTGATGTCTTTTCGTCACGACGTGATAAATTTACAAGACCAAAATAAGTTTTCCGAGGAATCGTTTAAGTAAACGACAAAATAGTATTATTTTATCATCTTATGTATTCCTTTGATTTCCTGGCATAAAAATCAATATTTCAATAACAGCATCAAAATGTTATTGCTTTGTTGCCCTTTCATCATTCCCCATGTCACACATATATTCAATATATGCATCCAACAATCAGAATATCCCTCATTATGGAAAAAATATCAAATTATCCCGTTACCAAAAACCGCAAATCCCCAGAGTATCAATGACCTTCGCCCAATTTAACATCCTCTGTGAAATCTCAAAAACACTGAAAAAAATCGTAGACCTTCAAATGCGCGATTATCTTGATACATTCAATATACTTCCTTCTACACTCAGTCAGGTTTTCGAGCTGAACATAGCTGTACAACTGAATTTCACCCAACGCAGTTTAACTCATGAAAAACTATCTTAGTGATCGCTCTCAGTATATTATATTAAACAAAATTTAATCAGATTTTCTTGCTACTCGGAATGGTGTTCCGCAGCTGTCCATTCTAGGGCCACTTTTGTTTGTGATATATACCTCCTAATTCCCTCATTGCCTTCGTTACACAAACATACATAGTTACGCTGGTGATACGCAGATATAGATGCAGTTCGAGGAATCTTCTGTAGATTATAGTTGCCAAAAAATCAATATAGATTTGAAAAGTCTGACTGAATTTTCGACAAAATATTGTCTTTCTGTGAATGTCACCAAATCCAGTGCTAGTATCCATTTTTTTTTCTTGCATCGATTTCTTTTCTTTTTTTTTTCAAATTAAAGTATTATACATGTGTTCAATATGTCTTTCATACTGTTTTATGTAGCATATTTTTGATCGTTTTTGTTTGGTGAAATGTTTGCTTGTCTGGACTTGTGTTTATATTTACATAGGTGTACACGTTTATTGGTTGGATGGAAGAGCAAGGTCTGTATTCTGTTTCCTATCAATAAAAGCAATTATTATTATTATTAAATAGAAATGGTCGAAAATAGAATTCAATTACATGCAGTCGAAACTTTTGGAGATAATTCTAACGGATTTGGATTGATTTACAAAAATTGAACATTTCAATAGGAAGGAGATGATTCTACAATAGCATTGATTTCAAATTAAATTTTTGTGATATTGAATTATTGTGTTGTTTTAAATTCATTCATTCTATATTTCCGAAGCATTTGCCAGTTATCAATTACATCAACTGTCATCAAACAACTACTATACTCACATTCTACTTCATATGAAGAATCAAGAATCAATAATAAGCAACGATTTTCATGAAACACAGCAGTATTTCCGTTTTTTTTTTATTGAAAGCATACATTTCATTTGAGTTTTTGACACGCAACCTTTAGCAATCTAATAAATTCTAAAGTTGACTTGATCTCTCATTTTCAGATCGATCAGTCCAATGAGGGTACTTGCAATGACGCAGACAGTTACTGCGGCATCAAAGACAAGCTGTACCCCGATCGCCGTTCCATGGGGTACCCTTTCGATCGCCAGCCCCGTACTGGGGTTGACACCCTTCAACAATTCCTGACCCCCAACATGAGAGTGCAAGATGTCGTCATCAAGTTCACCAACAGGGTTTTCAGGCCAAGACAAACCAACTGAAGCAGAAAAATATAATGTTTAATGAAATATTGGATATCACCAATAAATTGAATGAATTGATATGCCTCATTTGATTCCTTTATTTTCCCACATCAAGAGTCATCTATGTCAAAAATAAAGTTGTTGAATTAATTAATAGGTAAAATGTGTAGATATAATAAAAAAAAGAATTTATTGAATTAGTATTCCTTAATATACAGGTTAGCTAACTCAAAATATAGTATATTCAACTAAATGTGTACAAATGATACAACTATGTATACATATATATATTATTCAAACTGAACAAAAAGAAATATTCAATTTCCATGAGTTTGTTTCAAAAGTTCGATGATGGAGTAGATTCAATTGAATCAGGTAAATCATTGAATCTGTTGATGTCGAAATCCCAAATACTTCTCATATGTTAATATTTCTATATGTTCATCTTCCATTTTCACTTTCATGTTGGTTGTATTCATTTGATTATATTCGAATTCAATAGTGATAATCATTGTTTTAATTTTTTCAACGTTAAGTTTCATTTAATTGGTTTTCAGAACTTTTTCTACCCTCTCTGAAACTCAATACATGCTTCCAACAGTTTCTTTCAAATTTACTCCGGTACAGGCTAATAAGGCATCATCTGCAAATGAGTTGATGAACTCACAGTCTGTAAATAATTTTACAGGATGAAAAATAGGGGGCCAAGTACGCTACCTTGGGGTACTACTCCTGTGTGATTTGTTACATATTATGAGAAATAATCGTGTACACGTACTCCCCGTTTCATATTTTATAAATAATTATTCAACCATTCATAAACCATCCCCTCAATCCCATACCTTCTCAGTTTCTGAAGCAAAATACTTCTATCAATCGTTTTAAAGGCCCCTTTAAAATCTAAAAAGACAGCTTCACCCTTCATCTGTTTCAACAGTAAATTTAGTTAGCGATAACACTAGTGATGTTTCACAAGAATGTTTTTTTCGAAAACCAGATTAACTGCTTAACATTATTCGATTTTTGTCAATAAATTCTAATAATTGATTATTCACTGCTATTTCTAAAACCTTCTCTATTGACAGTAAGGCATTAATAGGTCTGAATTTACTTGCTTTTATAGCGTTTGTAACTTTCGGTATAGGTATAATGATACTTATCGATTAAATTGAGGATGCATGACCAGCTGTTTCAAATACTTGCTTCAACATTTTAAAATTCAAGGTTTCATGGATACTACTTGCTTTAACGATTTAGAATTGAAGGTTCCATCGATACTACTTACTTTAACATTTTAGAATTCAAGGTTTTATGAATACTACTTGCTTTTACATTTTAGAATTCAAGGTTTCATGAATACTACTTGCTTCAGCATTTTAGAATTCAAGGTTTCATGGATACTACTTGCTTTAACATTGTAGAATTCAAGGTTTCATGGATACTACTTGCTTCAATAGTTTAGAATTCAAGGTTTTATGGATACTACTTGCTTTAACATTGTAGAACTCAAGATTTCATGGATACTACTTGCTTTAACGATTCAGAATTGAAGGTTCCATGGATACTACTTACTTTAACATTGTAGATTTCAGAGTTTCATGGTTACTACTTGCTTCAACATTTTAGAATTCAAGGTTTTATGGATACTATTTGCTTTAACATTGTAGAACTCAAGGTTTCATGGATACTACTTGCTTTAACATTTCAGAATTCAAGGTTTCATGGATACTACTTGCTTTAACATTTTAGAATTGAAGGTTTCATGGGTACTACATTTATCATCTAATGACTCAATTATATCATTCGAATCGCTATTCGGCTTTTCAAAAGTTTCGGCCATGTCAGGTTCACCTTTTTTAGAACTTACTAACCCTTCATTCTAATTGGATTAGGTTCGGAAATGTACTATCATTACTATTAACAAGAATAAATATTTCTGGAGTTTTTCCCCAACACCAAATCGTTATTTTTACACCTCGACACGTGTTTCGATCACCAAGTGATCATCTTCAAGAGGAAGATAAAACTGACACTTTGGATTATTACTTTCAATATTCCTTCTTAAACCAACCCCTAATAATGAACTTTTACTTCCATTTCTTTTCCGCTGGAAGTTTTTGAATACATTCAAGCGTCAAATCGAAACACTGACGTGGGAATTCCTTGTTATCGAATGAAAGAGTTTTAGTCAACAAAATGAGTAGGTACAAATCGAAGTAGTAATGACATGAATAATTCAATAATTCGAGTTTACACTTATAGAGACACCTCCGTAAATTCCGAGTAACTCATGGAAATTTTCAATAAAATAAATAGCGCTTCTAAACATCCTGAAAAAAAATTAGCATGATGATTCGTTTCGAGATAAGTCACTAAATCAATAGAACTGGTTTTGAATCTAATGAATCGTGAATCTCATGGAATTACCAGGTTTCACAATAGACACAGAATCTGGAGTAACTCACAAATTTATAGAGATTGTTATTCTTCAATTCCTTGGAAATGACGGATATTTATGTTTTGTATCGAAATCCTCAATATTATACATAGGTATATTTTTTACTTTTTTACTTTTTTCAGCAGTGAAGACACGCATGAAGAAGCAATTGTATAGCAAAACACGTGTTGTGTTTCAGTAACACTCATGTGGAAATATCACAAGTGTTCCTTGAGTACGTCATGGATTTTCATCGAGTGGATTTTCATCATTTTACATTTCGAAAATTGTATTCTGAAAAAAATTTATTTTCAATTATCGGAAATTATTGACTTTATGTTGCACTGACGAGTGGCCAAACAGCCCGAAACCTGTCTGCAAGTGTGTTTCAATAATTGAAAATACATTAGGGCGGTTGTATCGCCAAAAGCATATGCAGGAATAACTTCAGTGAAGAATCCTGACTGACACCTGTCGGATATAATCCAACGCCCTTCGTGGTATTAGCCAGGAGATTAGTTGCTTTCTGATAGATGTCAGTCTATCAATCTTCAGTGTAGGGAGTGGAGACTGGCCTGAACAAATTGTTCTTTTCGTAAATGAAATTCTTTTTTTCTCGTTTCTACAGTACATAGTCTAAAAGTGCAGGGCAAGAATAATCTAGAAAATTGTATATCGAACTGAAGAAAATAATGAAAGCAAATATCGAAATTGTTCCCTTGAATTTCCACATATCTCGAATTGTTTACCAATGATTCACGTTGAAAAACTCATCTTCTGGAATATATACAACGTAAATTAGTGCACTTCGCTGTGGACCGCAAAATTCACTGGTTTAACATAATTCTGGTATTTCACTCGCAACAACAATGCGTCAAGTTGCGGTCTATATTCCAATTCCAACATCGTAAAATCAAATCAACCGCAACATCAAACGCACTTATTAATATAGCCGCGTGAATATGGATAATAATTTTTGTTTTTCTATATTGTTCTGAATCAGAAACCTTCACAGCGGAAAAATAATTATTGACGATGGTTGCCTTGAAGATCTGTACACTTTTGCATGCGTTTGAATCAATTGTTGAAGCACTTTTGGCACTCTGATTGAGGTATATCCAAAACATGCATTCTGAATACAGCAACCGCTTCTTCAGGTGTCGAAAAACGTTGACCTCTCAGTTCGTTTTTCACGTGCGGAAATAAAAAGAAGTCATTCGGTGCCAAGTCAGGACTATACGGCGGATGACTCATCAAATCGATGTTTTGGGTGCTCAAAAATGCAGTTGTTTGAGCCGATGTGTGAGAGCTCGCATTGTCGTGGTGAAGAGTTATCCATCTTCGTCGGTTGGTTTTCCTGATATCTTGGAAGACAACAGGCAAACAAATGGTTGTGTACCTCTCAGAATTGACTGTTTTGCGTTGTTCTAGTGGTAGGGTTGCGACATGTTCAGTTTTTACGAAAAAACAAGCGACAAGCTTGGAACTGGTTTGTGCGCGAACAACTTTTGTTGGATTCGGCTCTTCTTGAAACACCCATACAGTGGACTGCTGTTTACTTTCGGGCTCATACGCGTAAATCCATGATTCATCACCTGTCACGATGTCATAGACGTGTTTTGAAGCACCGCGATCGCATTTTTTGAGCATTTCCTTCGACCAATCGACACGAACCTTTTTTTGAGCGATTGACAAATTGTGTGGGATCCAACGCTGATAAATTTTTTTGACAGTCAAATGTTTATGCAATATTGAATGTATCTGGTTTCACTAATGCCTAAGGTTGTCTCAATCTCACGATAGATCATATGACGATCTTGCAATATCAGTTCGCGCACAGCATCAATGGTTTTCGGAACAACAACTGATTTTGGACGACCTTCACGAAATTCGCCTTGGAGAGAACTCTAACCACGATTGAATTCACCATAGCGTCGATAAACACTGGTCCTTGATGGAGCTTCATCGCCAAAAATTGAATCAAGTTCATGCATGCACTGTTGCTGAGTTAATACAAGTCGAAAGTTGTAAAAAATAATCGCACGAAAATGTTCACGATTCAATTCCATTTTTGGGCTATCTTTCGAATTATGGTAAACAACACAAATAGCGCGCGTATGTCAAAATGTTCTGCGTACGTATGAGCTCAAAAATGTCCAACTTTACGAAAGAGTTGTCAGATTGCAACACAGGGGTTGCAAATCTCGAAACATAAAAGGTAACCTATCGTATATTGCTGAAACAATGAGTAAGAAGGCATAAAAGGACCATCAATTTCCTGGAAAATAACAATTTTGAGGTCGAAATTCAACAGTAACTATTCCGAAACTGAAGTCAAAATTTTGCAATGACAATTTTGTTAAATTCCAACATCAATCTTGGAGTTTTTGACAAGTTTCCATTTCGAATTTTCCAAATTCCAAGTATCAGTGATCTTTCATCCAAAAAAGTCGCGACCTTTCTATGCCGATGTGAATGTATATTATTTTTATTTAGGAAAAACAAATTCTCACAAAGTACTTCAGAACACTTAAAAAACATATCAACATTGGACCGTTCATATGGCTATCATATGTTCATTCCTATTTGTTTTTGCTATTATTCAATATTACATAGTAGATATTCACAAAAATATCATCATTACCACATAAAACTCATTTCAAGAACTACAACGAGGAACTTTTTATGCATTTGAAGCTGTTAGTTGAACATAAGAACACAATTCATGTCTCAGTGAACACTCACTGTTCTTGTGATTCTTGTAACGTGAGTTGATGCATCAGCGATTTTTCTGCATTACTCGACAGAAGATATTTGGTTAATTAGGTGTCCATTTGAACAATTTTGTACATTCGAGCGAAATTCCTTACCGGTGAGCATTTTTTTGCACTGCAAACAGTCAGTAGTCGCTGGGAGCCAAATCTGGCGTGTGTAGTGGATGTGAGATCACGTTTGAAATCAGCAAACCAACGTTTAATTGTTGTTTCTGATGAAGCCTAGTCCTTTCAACACTTTTCAATCTATTGCTTCGCTTGAATGGTATTTTTCCCATCAAGAAGCAGTGTAAATTAAAACACGAAATTGTTTCTGATCCATTGTTTCGAAAATAACACATTCTCTGCACAATAACTTACAAAAAATAACACACAGGCTTCCTTTTGAAGATTAATACTAATTGAAAAAGCGGTGAATGCAATACGAATAGCGCCATCTATGTGATAGGCCTGAGATTTTTCAGTCCATGTAGATAAATTGTGGATTTTCCACCTGCTACATTTCATAATCTGTTTCAAATCTGTTTTTCCGTTTTAATCAGTTGTCGCCCCCATACGAACGACAAGTCTCAGAAGTTGAGAAACTTGTGCGATCCAAGAACTAACGAGGTCTTACCTTTCAACGTGTGATTCCTAACACGGAATCACATTTCTACTATGCATTCAATTATCTGTTGATTATCGGCAGTAATTTCATCCATTTTTTCTCAATTCCTTCAAATCTAATGAGAATGTATATATTCTTTGCAATTATGTATCACTCATTATCTTTCAATTATTTTCCACCTGAACAATAGGGTTTTCGTGATCTACTGATTTACGTGTAGTTGTCAACACTTGTCGAATTCATTTGACCCAAAATTCTTTTCCCGATTGTACTTCCTGATAAAAGTTAGAAGTGGACAGTTACTGTCTGTCTTTATCGTTCGCCCATCTCAAGAGACAGCTAGATTTGCCAACCTGTACATTTTGAAGATTCTCTATTGATTTAGCTTTGTTAACTTTTTAAATTGTGGATGGTGGAATTCCGAAAAAACAGCAAGATAAATCGACACCTCGACAAAACATAATGTCTTTCAACGAATATAATTGTTAAATTGTTGTTTAGCTGTTTAATTGCCGCACCCTCTTCAGAAAGTTTTCAGGGTAAATATTCATTTTGTGGGCACCCAGCTATTTTGAAAAAATGTTTGAGTATACTTACTTATTTTGATGCATAGATTATGAATCCAAAAAAAAATTGGTTTTCTTCCTTATTTACAAAGTTACGGCCCTTCAAAGTTCAGAAAAGGGCAACTTTTCAACCTTCTTTCTCACAAGATGAACTATTTAAAAACACAAGCATTTATTCACTAGATCACCTTATTTCTCCTTAATTGACACTTTTCAATTCAACAATTAAAATTTTTCCAATAAAAATGTTAAAATATTGGAATATTGACAGCGTCAGTCGTACCAACTATGCTATTATCCTTAAAAACGTAAAATACAGAGATATACAGGGTGTAAGTGAATGAGTGTAAAACATCCAAGGAGGTGATTCTTCATCGAAAAAAAAAAGGATCTTTCAAAAAAATGTACTCCGTACATTTTTTTACATTTTTATTGGAAAAATATTGATTGTTGAAGTAAAAAGTGTATTGAATTCATTGGAACCTCTGGAGACACCCTACATTTTGTTTTATAAGAGAGAGGACATTGGCAGATCAAGATCTTCAGATGATGTGGTGCTACAGGTTTTTCTGGGTTTTCCTGCAGCTGAAAAAGCAAATGCGCCACTGGAATCAATGAAGCCGCCCCGGTGCGCCAATTAACTTTTATTGTTGTTTCATGTTTCATTGAATGAATATCGTTTATCTTGTGAAACAAAAGACTGAAAAGTTGCCTTTTCTGAACTTTAAAGAGCCGTAACTTTGTAAATAAAGTGGAGCACCGTTTTTTCTTTCGGATTCGTAATCTACGTATCAAAATACGTAAGTACACTCAAACATTTTTTCAAAATCGCCGGATGCCCTCAGAACGAACATTTACCCTTCATTGACTCGACTAATATCGATTCATTAATTAACAACAAACATGAAACTTTGACATTAGCCTTGCTTCGAACCGCGTCGTCTATAAAAGGAACTGCTCCTCTCAATGCAAGTGCATACCAAACTTGTACTCGACGGAGTGAGTGGCATTGATTGTTTCGGAAATGTACACCAACCCCTTCAGTCGCACCCACAGCCATGTTCGGCAAGTTATTGATCGTTTTCTCCTTGTCATCAACGACAGGAACTGTAATAATAATGAATTGCACAGAAATAATTCGGAAAGTTCGGTTTGTTCGTCAACATCAAGTAGTTCGTGGAAATCAAAATATTCCATCGGCAGCGGCAAAAAGCTCTTCAAAAGGGCCAAGGACTGAGTTAGTGCTTTGTTTGGATAACTGGAGGGCTGACTTTCCTTCCTAACTATCGAGATGGTGAGTAATTTGAACATTATTTATACAGGGCCCGTCATATAGTTAGTGTCCACATATTATGTGGGCTTCAATAAAAAAACGTGAGAGATACAAGATCGGTTGGTTGAAGAAAAAGTTGCTCATGTTAACATCAAAAAATGATGTATGGCAGTTTTCAAAATTGCTATTATTTATGAAGACATTCACAATTTCATTTTGATTTAGGAATTATCTTCTTCGAAGAACTATCACCAATTTTATTTTTTATATGGATTGGAAGAAGGAAAGACCTGCCTTTTTAGCAACAAATTTACTAATATATCACCCATAACCGTTTTATGAGTTTTCAACTAGTATCAAAAAGCTGAATATGAATGTGAAATATTTTTAGAAAAATATAATAATAAATATTCAAAAATAATCATTTGCATCAATGTAAATGTTGGAAAAGTTGTCACACTAGTCAGTTCTGTAGAGTTTTGAGGTCATTAAATAAATGCACTAGACCAGGTAAACCAATTGAAAAGAATAAGTCAACTTTGATATTTGAAAGGTATTCAATTATAAATTTTGAAGCTTGATTACAGATATTTCACATGTATCCTACAGTTCTGATTTTGAAACAATGTTTTTTGAGTTTCTACCATCGTTTTCTTTTTGCACGAACAATCTAAATTATATATCCTTCCGTTCATTTGTATAATAATGGGTGCAATTCCAGAATTTGTTGAAATCTTGCTTTCAAGCGAATGTTTCGTTTCGTCACTTGTAATGAATGTGAAAATGAATGTCAAAATTGGAATATGAAAAATATAATACTTACGAGGGTGATATTTTATTTTCAGTCACAAAAAAGGTTTTTTCTCTGTACAAAAACGATATTGTCAATTTCTCCAATGAACTCCTGTAGTTCTAGTCCTTCTTTACATAACTTTCGATAAAGTATAGATGTGGTATAAAAACAGGTCCAATGAATCTCATTGTGATAACTTTCTTGAAGTTGAGTTGAATAAAAAGTGAAAGTTCAATCTATGAACTAATCTCTACCATGATGGTTCATAAAAATGAAACTGGCAGTCATATATCACAATTCAAGCTTTCCAAACTACCTTTTTTATGTTTGAAGGTGATTGACAATGTTTCATGACGAATTTCACTAGTTCGGACTTCCATTGTCTATTATATAAAATGATTTGAAATCCCTGAAACAAATAAAAAGAAGAATTGAAAATGAATGGCTGAAAATAACAATTATATTAACCAAAATAAACCTGAAATTAAATAAGAGTGAAATAAAATACAAGTAAAAATAGAACAATTGAATAAATCAAAATAAAGAAATGAAAGAAGAAAATAAACATAAAATGTGGAGAGATTCCAAGTCACGTTAGTTCACGACGTTTCGATTGTTAGTATCTGCAATCGTCTTCGGGTGCTGACTGGACTGATTCCTCCGAGAGATGACTATTTATAGGTCGTTCGAGTACTTGCACTTATCCCCGCTTTCCATTTTCCGCTTCACTGGTTCCATGGGAGATGACCGTTTTGGCGGGAGTTGGCCATTTTTTCGCTTGATGATGGGTTTCCATATTTTGCGTATTTCTACGCTGGCTTGGCTGAATACGTTGTTGGACAACATGTATGCGGCTTCCTTGAATTTTCTCCTAAACCAATGTTCCTCTCTGTGCAAGATCTCAGCTTGGGACCACTCGATGTTGTGTTGATGGATCCAAACATGGTCTGCTATTCCTGATTTGCTGGTTTCCCCTCGCTGTGTGTGTTTCTTGTGCTCGGCACACTCACAGGGTATCTGGTTAATGCAATTCTTGGAATCGCAGTCCGCGTTTGGTGGCCTGGTTTTCGTGAGGCTTCTACGGATAGTGTTACCGGATCTGAAGCAGGTTCTGATGTTGTACTTGGAACCAATTCTTCTTATCCTCTCCGATAATCCTCTGATGTAGGGAAGTGCAAGCACTGGTTGTGACGGCTTCTCTTCCTTGCGAGGCTCCTGCTGTCTTCTAGCCAGAGTCTTTTCTACCATCGCTTTGGAGTAACCATTCCGTTGAAGATCATTTTTGATGATGCCTAGTTCCTTCTCGAGACCTTCCTTCGTATTACAGAGCCCAAAAGCACGGTCTAATAGAGTCCTGATTATTCCTCAAGGAAGCCGCATACATGTTGCCCAACAACGTATTCAGCCAAGCCAGCGTAGAAATACGCAACATATGGAAACCCATCATCAAGCGAAAAAATGGCCAACTCCCGCCAAAACGGTCATCTCCCACGGAACCAGTGAAGAGGAAAATGGAAAGCGGGGATAAGTGAAACTACTCGAACGACCTATAAATAGTCATCTTTCGGAGGAATCAGTCCAGTCATCTTTTTTCATTTCTTTATTTCAATTTATTCAATTGTTCTATTTTTACTTGTATTTTATTGCACTATTATTTCATATCAGGTTTATTTTGGTTAATATAATCATTATTTTCAGCCATTCATTTTCAATTCTTCTTTTTATTTGTTTCAGGGATTTCAAATCATTTTATATAATAGACAATGGAAGTCCGAACTAGTGAAATTTACCTTTTTTATATTGTTATTCGAGATATCAATTCAACTTCAAAACTACACATATCGTTGAAATTTGATGTACACAAATACATACTATACTTATACAGATATATTAATATTGAAGGTTTTTGTGATCTTATAGCTTAAGTGTGTAAATCCAAGGTTGGGTTTAAAAGCCGCTTCATTAGCTGAACCCTGCCCATTCATCAATCTTGTTTTGTAAATCATTGAATATGATGAATAAAGGCATTTTATCACATCACATTATCGCAAAATATGTTTGTGAATTACTTCTAAAAAAACCTAAGTTTTAGGATCATCATTACTCATTGTACCTACACTATTATGGAAAATATCTCAAATTGGTTTATTATTTGCAGTTGACTACTTCATGTCTAACGGATATTTGGATTACCAGCTACTACTGCACAAGGAGTTGCTTTGATGATTATGTTGCCTTTCTTTAGAGAATGCTTTAGAGAATAGTACTGAGAGATATGGTTGTTTTAGTCGAAAGTAGGATAAGATTTGTGCATATCCATTTTTATACTTGTGTTACTATAATTTATTTCTGTTAATAAAATTTTGTTGTAAAATTTTGTTTTGTTTTTTCTTGTGTTTGTTTTCAAAGTGAGGGAGTAATATTAACATGCATTTTTTTTTTAATTCACACGCAAATAAAAACAGCGATAACTGATTTAATCAACAAAAATTACTATGCATTTTAACGAATTTTTCGAATTATGGTGATACACGTTAACATCTCGTTAACAGGTTGATTGCTTTTAACTACAATTGTCTACAAAGAATTGAAACTTATTTTCGGATGAAGTTTCGAACGACTTTTTCGATAAAAGTAATCGTAAAGGTTGTTTTACTTCTCCATCCATATAAAAAATTACTGAATAATTATGAAATATGGAATTGTTGATCACATACATTTGATGCAGTCAAAATTGAAAGATGTAAATGTCACATTTAGTTACAAACTGTAATTCAAAGTTGGTAAGCCTAGCAAACGAGGTGGTCAAAGTTAAGAGCTCTCATTGGCAAACATATTACGTCAAACATCTTTTCCGGAATTCCTGCGACACTTCTTGTATTGTGGGTTAATAGATATAGATGAAAATACAAGTTTGAATTGGACATATTTGAACAGAAAATGGATGATAAAGAATAAACCAATGTATTGAATGGATACAAAGTATGGATTAAAATATATCTTTGAACTGTATACCCATGACAGAATATAAATGAAATAAAATAATCAATGTAATGAAATAAGTTCTAGAGACTAGTTATAAAAAAATAAGTCTAAACTGGACACATTTGAACAGAATATAGATAAATGAAAACAATCAATGGATAGAGATACATGACATGACAGTGAACGATTGTAAAATAAAATAGAATTATAAAATGAAGGTGATTTTGATTTTAATGGTTCCAGACTAAAAACAAATTGATACACAATATATGTCTACAATCGAGGAAGTGCATGTATTTAAATTTAAATTTGTCTATGTATCTCTGTTTGTGGTATTCACATTAACAAATAATTTGATCTTTGTCATAAATTTTTTGAGATTTGTTTCGCATCTTAAATTTTCAGGAAGAAAACTGTAGAGTTTTGGTCCTAAATACCGGAAGGATTTGTGCCCAACTGATTTGAGCATTAATGGTATGATGATAGTATGATTTCGACGTGTAGCATATTTATGGGAATGTGTAGTTAATTCTTTTCTGCCGTACAACAGTAATATTTATAAAAAAACAGCTGATTAATCTCTTTTGCATAACTGCAAGAAAATGTTGATGAGTTTTAGACAACCCACCCCAACCAATTATACCATATCTCAGATGGGGCTCTACTAAACTTTTATATAACATAATTTTCTGTTTTTGATAGAATATATTTGCTATCCGTTTGAATTTGTAAAATATGCAACGTAATTTTTCAACTATATGGTCTATGTGGTGGTCCCATCTGAGATTTCTGTCTAAAATCAATCCAAAATATTTTATTGCCTTTGTGAGTTTGATGACTGAAGGACAGATTATTATTTTCATTATTATTATAATATCTAAGGTTGCGCTGGTTAGGCCCTATCCTTCGAAGCATTCTGGAGGGCACATCAGCATTATCAACCAGTGATCAACCCCCACACCGTGGTGTAAGTGATCATTGGGTATGAAAATTATGTGTCCTGAGCAAGGACATAAGCCAGGGTCGAAAACTGAACCGAGTTTACCAGCTACTCGGGCAGCTGCCCTAATGAAAAATGCTCCAATTTCTGTTCTCTAATGCTCTCTTATTATTATTTTTTTCACCGTAGTGTGCGCTGGTCAGGCCCTATCCCCCGAAGCCCCGATACATTCGGGAGGGCGCGCCAGCATTATTAACCAATGATCACTCCCTATACCGTGGGGTAAGTGATCATTGGGTCCGAGAATCATGTGCCCTGAGCAAACGCAGTGAGCCAAGAATGACAGCCTTCTGCATCTGTGCGGCTAAGATTTCTGCCTTAGTGCGGCAAACCGGTATGATTTTAAGATTCGAGAGTAGAGAGGACATCATTTCACCAAGGACTCCAATAATCAGAACAACCATCTTGACAGAGTGATCTGGATAGGGTCTGCAGCGTTCGAAGAGAAAATCTCGATATTTTATCCGTTTTTCTTCCTCTTTTCTGACGATATTCGTCTCGCCAGGAGCTGAAAACTCCATGACAAATATTGTTTTGCTCTGGTGGTCGAGAAGGACCACATCAGGCTTATTAGCTTGTATGAGCCTGAGGGTGGGGAACGAATAGTTCCAATGAATTCGGCACTTCTCGTTCCCCACAACGGATTCAATATTCCCCGGAGCGTAGGGCAACACCGGTGTCTTGTCAATACCGTAAGAGTGTCGTAGATGGTAATATAGCACTCTTAGGGCCGCGTTATGTCGATGGATATAGGTCGAAACCGCATATGCTGGACATGCTGATAGCAAGTGCATTAGGGTCTTGGGCGCCTCGTGGCAGGCCCTGCACTTTGTGTCAGGAACCTCTATACCCATCACTCGACTGCGGTAGACTAAGGTGTTGAAGACACCATCCTGGCAAGCCATGATGAACCCCTCAGTTTCCGAAGGTCAGACGCTTTGATAAGCCAAAGTCTTCAATGACCCCATGCATTGGCTTATCCTTGTGTTTCCGCAGAAATAAGGTAATTTCTGCGGCTTTTATCTGAGCTTTTTGCTGAACAGGTTCCAACTCGGTGACAGAGTTGTGGTCACCTCGTTCAGTGTCGAAAATTATACCGAGTTCATCAGCTGCTCGGGCGGCTGCCCTAAAGAGAAATGCTCCAATTTCTGCTCTCTCATGGTCACGGACCATGCAGAGAAGGGGATCCGAACTCCTGATGACTTTACAGGCTGTATCCAGCATTATTCTGTCATGTAGACACTTCAAACTCAAAAGTCCACGGGGGAAGTACAACTGTGGAACGGACCATTTGGGATGCAAACTCCTATAGAGATGCATCATTATTCGGGTCTTTACGTGTTGTCCTCCTTCACTACTCCAAACGAGTAGAGTAAGATTGGAACGGCAAGCATATTTGTTGCAGCAACTTTGTTCTTCCCCGACAGTTCCAATGACCAGATCTGTCGAAGTTTGTGCTGATACTTGCCGCGGAGAGAGCTTTTCACTGCTGTTACCTCTTGTTATTATTATATTATTATTATTATCATTATTATTGGTAATCTTTTTCGACTGGTATTTGTGAAAATTGACGTACTTCAAGGATTTCTTCAAAATTGTTATTTTCCATTCACAGTTAGTTAGTAGAGTATAAGCTAATTATTTCTGTTTACGCTCATCAGTATGCATCGAAAGTATCGATTGATATTTTGATATTGCTTATAAAATAATGTTATAAAATGTGGAAAGCGCAGATCAGAAGATTTCAGTTTGGATTATTTTTAACGGAAGTGGTTGGCTTTACACCCAATTTTTTTAAATTTTGAAAGTCTACATTCAAATGGCATTCGATGAAAATAGAATATATCGATTTAATCTGGTTTTGTTGTACAAACACATTTATATATTTATCGAATGAAAATTATGCCACCTTTTGATGAAATCGTCCAGAATCTCACAATGGACAGCATTCTTCAGTTAATCATTTACTAGCTATTCGCTAATGACCGAGACCTTGTTCTTCCAAATTTAATGTCTTTTTTACACTTGGAAATCAGTACGTGACATCTTAAAAAGGCATTAGGTTCATCTTAGCTGGTTCTATTATGAGCTAACTTGTCATTAAAGAAGCATTCTTCTGGAAGTTTGAGATTCAGCAATTATTATTTATGAAAGCTGATTTCTCTTGACGTCGGTGATTTTTTTTAAGAATAAATTATTGTGGACCATCAATCAATGAAATTCAGTTTGTAGTGATGACAATAAAATGGTAATGAATAAAAAAGTACATGCCGTTGAGGAGTATATATAATAATATGATAATAATATAAGTTTATTCAGATATCCAATACAAATATGAAAATCATCAAATAAAACGAATAAACGAGAATACAAAATCACGAAGCGTCAGTGGTGAGACCGTTGCTTATATGTGATAAATTAACCTAAATATAATATTATTGTAGTTTTAAGACAAAAATTTACTTTAATAGTACAGATCCTATAATTTTATTGATGTGTACGTCACGTTACTTGTATATATTATTCAGATATGAGCCATATTTGGTGTTGACATAGTAGGGTGTATTATCATAGTTGGGAATGTTGTTATAGTTGGGAGTGTTATCATAGTTAGGTATGTTGTCATAGTTGGGTGTATTTTCATATTTACAATAGGGATAGTGACTTGTAATTTTTTGTTTTCCAAGTTCAAGATTGATTCACCGCATCATGGAAGAGTTTCATTCACTGAGCATAATCCAAAGTTTTATTTTATTTTTATATGAAGTAGGAGAATATATTTTTAATTGTTTCAGGTACCACGTTGTGAAGTCGGGGTCCATGATAGTTTGCACATCGTTGGCCTATTGTTTTTTTTTTTTTTGATCTGGGTAGTTTATTTTGTCTCCTCCTCATATCATATTTGTACTCGACAGATTCAGTTAAAATACATTTTTTGTTTCCGTACATTAATTAAGATATTGAAACAGAAAATCTGCCTAACATCCAGTACTTGAGACTCTTCCATAAGACAATATTGAATGAATCAGAGCGTAATATACTATTTTGAGGTGTTTTATGTCTAAAAAATCTTCCAAATACTTGAATCTATACAAAAACCCTCTTAGTTTTCTTACTTAGTTTTGAATTTGGAGATCCCATCTCATATACCTGTCAATAATAGCCTCCAGGTATTTCATCGAGATGTTTTCTGGAATTTCGCAATTTTTTCCGAATTTTAATGGCCCCATATTAGGTAAGTTTAACCTGGCTAGGTAACCCGGGAAGTTTTCATGTTCCGTGAACAGTTGGACAGCCTTCCTCGACAGATTAAGAGATTCAAACCCGACTATTTTACAGTATCTGTATAACAGCCGCCTAGCCGTTTCGTCTTCCCATTCCCTCTGCCATTCT